GGGGGGGGGGGGTGAGACACACACTCGGGCATTGAGAATACAAGTTGTACAAAAGTATGTATTTATTATGATTTGAAATGTTTCGTGGGGTAATAGGACACATGCCAAGTTAAGATGTCTTTTTAAAAATTCGGGACGACTTCAAGTGTTATTTTATGTCTTTTCTCAATATTAGATTGCACATTTATCCCTATCAATTTGCTATTAAAAATATTTTGTTTATGTGATTTTTTTTAAAATTATAACACCTCGAATAAAAAAAATGATAGAATTGCAGCTTTTTGTAGAATCTGGTGCCAGTCCCGACGAAGCCATCAACAGCCCGTGGACTGACACACGGACCGTAGGTCACTTCGTGGGTGGAAGTACAAAAGTTTTTTCAAAATGTCAAGTTCCAATACTTTCCGATGGTTCACCAGGATGGTCCGTCAACCTATGTACGAGTCGTAGGTAGGTCTAGTAGGTGAGTCTCAGACTTAGTGAAATTTTAGAGCCAAAAGTGAGACCCACAGCTGGGCATGTACGACCCGTAGGTGGCCTCACGGACTGTACATGGGTCCCGTCAGTCAAGGTCTAAAATCATAGTTTCTGAACCCATCGACGATCGACCAGGACGATCCGTAGGTAGACCCACGGATCATAGGTCCCCATCGACGGTTATTTTTAAAGGGGCTTTTGGATATTTTCCTAATTATTCTATCCTAATACTATGTCGTTTTATCATCTATTTGAAGCCTATATAAACGTTTTTAATTCCCCAAAGTCTTCCAAATCAATTCATTCTCTCAAATCTCAAAAGACGAACAAGTTCCTTCTCTCAAATATTTCTCTCTCTAGAAGGTTGAAGAAGAAGGCTAGGGCTTCAAGAAAATTCTCTAAGTCCTCTATTGAAGTCAAGCTTTTGGCATGATAGTCTTCATCTATGGAGCCCTTTCCTCCATAGAGTTCCCAAATTCCTCAATTTTGAAGTTAGAAATCCCCAATTGAAGTTAGGGTTTTGGGTTCTTTTCAATATTGATTTATTTGATTGTTTTATGAACCATTATGCATGAATTTATATAATTTCATGATTTTGAGATGAAATCCCATGAACCCATGCATACCCCATGTTTTCCAAGTTATGAGATATAATGTGGGTTTTGAACTATTAAAGATGAGTTTATGAAAGTATGCATGTTCTTATGAAATTGATGTAAATGTTTTAAGGATGCTTTGAGAGTGAAGTATCCATGTTGTTGTTGTTGTGTTGTGAAAGGATTTCTCATATACATATGAAAGCATGATTGTGAAAGGTTTTCTCACATAAAGGATTCTAAGGTTGAAAGGTCTTCTCATCTAAAATGAATCAAAGTTAAGGAGCTATTCTAATAATGAGGCAAGCGGCGATTACCCATGACCTCAAAATGCTAAGAAAAAGGGTGATTACCCATGTCTTATTAATGAAAAGAAAAGTTAAGACTAATCAATATTTCGTGAGATTTATGCTTAGCACCGAGTGGACAAGTGACGATTATCCATATCCCATAATCTATGCGTCATTATAGGTTGTCTAGATAGACATTAGCTAGTGGGTCCACTATAGCTAGAAGTTCATGGTCTTACCTTGACAAGTCGGATACATCTTTTCGGTGTAGGGTAGACACTGAATTCCATGTTAATAGCTCACATGGTCTTACATGTCGGTTAAAGGTAAAATCTCCCACAATAATGAACTAAGGTTACTTTTAGCAGTATCTCATGAATTCTTTAAAGAAGT